GTGTCTAAAGCAATTAGCCTTTTGGTCAGCCCAGGTTCTGCACTGAATAAATGGGGTGTGTGTGGGTGTCCTCTGTTGAACATCTGCTAACGGGCCTGGCTTGCCAGCTGCCCCAAGCTGGTGACATGATACCCAGGGGCACCAGCTGGTTACAGGAAGGTGGTGGAAGCGGGCTGGCTGGCTGATGACCACGAAGCTCTCTGCTATTTCATTCGTGCCATCCTATTTGATAGTAAAAGATTTTCTAGTTGGCTTCTTTGGGATGCCAGGATCACAGACCTGCTCATATTAGGATCAATCATATGAAATTATGAATTATATGAAATTGTATTGTTGTAGATCAAAAGTAAACATTTCTTTTGTTTCAACCAAATGCTGAAAACCAATGTCTGCAAGTAGGTTCATTCTCTTCAACTACTTATTTCTTGTTTTGTTTTTAACTAGCTAATACATTATGGAGGATTGTCCACTGTAATGGATACAAGTCTACCTCCTTCTGACTGATAGATTGTATTCCATCCTATGGACAGATTAGATTTCAGTAGCTGAGCTCCTATTCACGGATATTTAGGTTGTTTCCAGGCTTTGTAGTTCTTCTTACAGATAATGATGTGATATAAAGCTTTATGTATAAAACTTCAAATATGGTTTTGAGTGTATCTATAGGACAAACTACTAAAAGTAGAGCTGCTGAGCTAAAGTGCCTGTTCATTTGAAATTTTGTCAGGGATGACAAAGTTCCCTTCAAAGAAATTGCCCCAGTTTAGATCTTCATCAGTGGAGAATATTCTTGCCCATCAGTGTTACCAAACTTGGTAATTTTTGCCAATATAATGGGTTTAAAATGGAATTTTGGCATTCTAGTTAGTATTTATTTTATTCTATATAAGGTGAAACAGTTCTCACGTATTGTTATTTGTTTTCCTGTTGTATGTGTTAGTCTCCTCCAGCTGCTGTAACGAAACATCTCAGACAGGGTGGCTTCAGCAGCAGGAATTTCACATGGTGCTGGAGGCCAGGAAGTCCAATGTCAAGGTGCGAGCTGATTTGGTTCCCCAGTGAGGACTCTCCTCCTGGCTTGTAGAGGGCTATTTCCTTCCTATGTCTGGTGATGGTGAGGTTGGGGAAAACAGACAGAGAGAGGGTAAGAGAAAGAGAAGGAGGGAAAAGGGGGGAGGAAGAAGAGGGGAGGAGAACCCGGTTTCTCTTCCTTTCCTTAGGACACTGATTCCTTCATTGGGGTGTAACCTTCATGACCCCATCTAAATCTCATAACCTTCCAAAAGCTCCATCTGCAAATACTATGATCCTGAATGTTAGGGCTTCAGCGTTGGAATTGTGGGGGGGGGGACACACCCATTCAATCCATAACATCTCCCCTTGCTTTTCCTTTGATTTATTCTTTCTCCCTTCCTGTTTTTCCTCCTTCCTTCCTTCTTCCTTCCTTTTCAGTTTTGCTGCCTTTTATCCCCTTTGTTTCTGGCTACGTACTATAAAAATACAGTTCTGGAGTCTGCGGTTGGATTCCCACCATGGGGACTCTGCTGGAATTTCAAATCACTCACCATAATTGAACTATAAATTAGAGAATTCTTATGAATAGAATAGGATGGAATGTGGTTTCATGTTCTCTTTCTCCAGGGACCCTGCTCAAGTTGGCAATAGGAGACTAAATTAGGGGAGGGATTAGTTCTAGGAAGTGGGGTTTTTAGAATAGCTGCATGTCTAATCCAAATATTACAGACAGTGTCTTGGTTATCTCTGTTACTGAGAGATCAGGAGGTAGAGGATAACTTGAATCCCCAAATGTGCCAGAAACATATTTCCACCTTTCTTCAAGTTTCTCAATTATCCTGCCACTAGAACAACTATTGAAAGGGGTTTATTCCTACTCATTTTCACCCTGCAGTTTTCCACCAATAGCACAGGCAGGGATGTGGCATGCTGCAGAAAAACAAAACAACACAACAATAAAAAATAACCCTACGTGATCCAGGGTAAAGAGCTCAATTTTAGTGGTGTTTATGCTTCGCATTGGCCTGGAATCATGGCAAGTTGCAGCTCTTGGGGCCTCATTTTCCACTCTGTAAAAGGAACAAAATAACAGCAACCTGCCAGGGTGGCCGAGAGGGCACTGAAGAGCTCTGGCGAGTGTGACCTAGTACCAGGGCTGCCTCCGCCATGGAGCTGGTGCATAAGCATAGGTGCTGTCTGCACAGTGCCTGGCATGGAACCTGATGGGGACTGCCCAGTGCTGGTCCCTTTCCTCCCTTGGCCCAAGGGTCCAACACACTCTATTATTTCAAAAAACTACTGCAAATATGGTGGTTTAGAAAAACAGAGATGCATTCCCCGTGCAGTCTGGGAGGCCAGCCATTCAAACCAACACATCGCCAGAGCCAGGTTCTTTCCAAAATTCCTGGGGGAGAATCCTTCATTGCCTCTTTGAGCTTCTGGTGGCCCCAGACATTCCTCAGCTCGTGGATCCATCACTGCAGTCTCTGTTATGGTGGTCAGACTGTCTTCTTCTCAGTGTCTGTCTTATAAGGATTTAGGAGCCGGGCACAGTGGTGCACGCCTCTAACCCTAACTGTCAGAGGCTGAGGCAGGAGGATCACCGCAAGTTTGAGGCCAGCCTGGGCTACATAGCGAGTTCAAGGCCAGCCTGAACTACATAGCAAGACTACAGAGTGGGACCCTGTCTCAAACAACAAGAAGAAAGACAATTAAAAGGATATAGGGACCACTGTATAATTTAAGATGATCTCAAGATCCTTAACTTAATTACATCTCGAAGGGCCCTTTGCCAAATATGGTCATATGAATTCAGGGAGTCAGTGTGTGGAAAGATCTTTAGAGAGGGCCACCACCATGTACCCCATTCAACACACTCAAGTATAGACTTTATAGTTGAAGACCTGATAAGGCACATTTTTTTCCCCAGCCACCCATTACTTCAGTATTAATAAATCAAGAGTAGATCAGAGAAGAGAAGAAAGAATAAACATAGTGTTTGTTTTGTGTTATTATTTTTTGTTTTTTTGAGACTGGGTCTTTCTATGTAGTCCAGGCTGGCCTCACATTGGCAGCAATCCTCCTGCCTCAGCCTCCCGAGTGCTGGGATTACAGGTGTGCACCACCCTGCCCTGTCTTATCTTGTATTTAGAAGCAGGAATGCACCTCTCTCGAAGATGCCCACCGTCTGGATCTACTGAGTAAGTTCATGTGACCTGGCTGAGGTCAGAATGGCAGCCTCAGGGACTGTGGTCAGCAGTGGCCCAGAAGACACTCACATCTGCCTTGTGCTCGCTCTGCCCCTATCTCCAGCTGGGTCCACCCATGTCTGGCTATGCAAGGGCGGCTCTAGATTGCCACGGACTTAGCTTGGAGCAGCCCTTTATCCCTTCAGTGGACACTTGCTTGCTTCCTGGGCTCCCTAGGCTCACTCTCCCTTCTGCCCTGATCATTCACTAAACCTTCCAGAACCCAGCTGAAGCAATAGAAGACCACTCTGGGCACTAGACTTCTCAAAGGAAGGTGGTGTCAAGGTCTCAGAGCTCTTGGCCCACACAGTGGTGCCCAAAGCCAACATTAAAAAAAAAAAAAAAAAAAAAAAACAAAGTGAAGATAATCTAGAAGCATTTTTGCACTGCAGCTCTAAGTCCACGGTTTGGTGGGAAAACACACAACACAAGGAAAGTCACAGAACTGCTCAGGCTCCCAGGAGAGGATGGACGCTGGAAGAGCGGCTCTGGGCAGGCAGGAGCAGCTGTCTTCTGGGACAAGAGCAAAAGGACCAGATGTGCACAGATTCGGAGCAGGGGACATCTGCGTGAGGACCCTGCTGTGGCCAGGTGCCTGGCCCGGTCACAGGATGTCTCCGAGCCTCGGGTTACCTTCTGTAGCATGAGATAGTAACCAGGACTCCTAGGTTATGCATAAGCTGGCATCAGATTCGAGCCTGAGTAATGACAGTGAGGACTGTCGATCCCTCCCTCCTCTGCGGCTTGCCGGCTCCCCCAAGCCGGCCCTCCCCAGCACTGTACTGGCCTCGGGGGCCTCTGCTGTGGGTCCAGACCGCTTGTCTGTACCTGGGTGCCTTTGTCTCTGTCCTCAGCACCTAACTCAGTGCCGGGCATACAGCACAGTGCTGTGGGTCTCTGTGAAAAGGCCAGTTATCTGAATGAGTCTCTCCAGAGAGACATTATCCATCTCTCCTGATTCCCATGGAAGCAGGAACACCGCCAAGGTGTTAGCACCGAGTGTTCGGGGCCAAGCTCTCTGCTGTGGCATGAATGAGCTCATCTAAGACTCTCACTGCCCGTGGAAAGGTGGGTACCAGGGCTTCCCTCCATGCAACGCGGTGGCCTGAGAGAGGCTGCGAAACTTCCCGGGCGCGCTGCTAGGAAGTGGTGGCAGGGATGTGACCGCAGGCGGCCGGGCTGTAAACTGTGATGTCACTGCCTCTGCCACAGGGGGACAAGGGGCTCACCTTCCCTGCAGAGAAACAAGTCCAGCTCTCTGGCCTGAGTTGGAAGATAGGAGGGATGCCGGCCATCAGTGCCGCAGCACCCAAAGTCAGGGCTACACTGGGGCTTTCCTAGGGCCTAGGCTCTTCTGGCTTTGTGGGCCCCTTCATATGTGTCTATAGATACAGATATAGATTAAAATTCTATTTTATGACCAAGTTGGCGTAAAGACGACTATAACTCTGCCTGCAGAGTCTTTTGTCACCTCAGTCTTTTGATTTTGCTTTTCATTTTTTGAAACAGGGTCACGCTATGTAGTCGAGGTTGGTCTTGAACTCACTATTTAGCCCAAACTCGCTTGGAACTGGCAGCGATCCTCCTGCCTCAGCCTCCCGAGTGCTGGAGCGAGAAGCACGCCCCTGCACCTGCTCCATGTCTCCCCCCCACCCCAACCCCGGGAAGATGCGCCAGCCCCGCAGCTCCAGTCCTCTGTCCGGGTCCTGCTTCTCTAACCGGCCTCTGTCCCCGCAGGTCCCGCAGCGGATGGCGGAGGAGGGCAGCCCCGAGGACGAAGGCGGCGGCGCCCCTGGCGTGTGGGGCGCCTGGGGGCCCTGGTCCGCCTGCTCTCGCAGCTGCAACGGCGGCGTCAAGGTGCAGACGCGCCCGTGCCTGCCTGCCTCCCCCGCGCG